AGATCTTTTTTTATCAAAGGCTCCTAATAAATTGGGCCTTAATAAACGTTTTTTCTAAAGTTGGTTAGGCCCGGTAGTGGGCTCGTGTTACAGTCTTTGTTAATAAAAGTATTAAATGAGATTGTTGAACTTTCCAATGAATTACGAGGTTACCTCACACAATGTTTAAAATATTCTTTATATAAAATATTTACAAGTTGTTTGCCGTTTTGATAAATAAACTTTTGTTTATCAAAATACTACTCAATAGTTTGACTTATTCTCTTCTTTATTGCTGTAACTTGTTTAGTGAGCATGCATAGTGAACATAGAGTAAAGCATGCTGTGACAACCAATTTAATCAAGTTGTAGTTCCTTCAATTAATCCGAGCATCACACAAAACATTTAAAAAATTTTCTTTTAAAGCAAAGTTCATGAATTTCCATGTCTTATTTATTTATTTCAAACTATATTTATAGTTAACAATTTACAATTGTTGTTCATATACGAGCAAGATATGTTCATATGTCAGGCCTGTACATTACATTAAATTTATGAATTTTTAATTTGTAAGGAAATTAAGTTCGTCAACTTTTTTAAATGTAACATTTTTAATCAACTCGTATTTCTAAAAAAATAAAATTTTAATTGTAATTTTATTACTGAGTGTTAATTTAGTCATTGCATAGTTGGGCCTGAGGTAAGCAAAACCATGCAAAACCAATATTGTGTTAGTCACTCAAAAACTGATTTAATTTTAACCATACTTAATTTTTAGGTTCAACATATCAATTTTACCAGGGAAATGGTAATATTTTATTTTTCAAATATTAGTCAAAATCAAAAATAAAATGAAGCCAAAGAAACAATTTTTTTCTATTCTAATGTCTTAACTCTACATATTAGGTCAAAGACACCATATATTGAAATAAGAAAAAAAGATATGAAAATTTATTTTTATACTAGCATTTTTTTAAAGTACTTTTCTTAGCATGCCCTAACGTTTTTGTAACACTTTACTTAACCCAAGCATAAATAAACTTATGGATAAATATGGATTTTAGCTGAGCCCAAGTCTTTTGTTATAAATGATATCGATTCATCAGGGGCGTTGACCTCATTCTTTAGTGTTTAATTATTCCAAACATGTATATGTTTATGTTAATGTCAAATAAGGATGCTTTGCCAAGTACTGTAATGATTGCAGCCTGGGAACCAAAAAATACTAAAAAAAAAAGTAGTTATTTTACCATAATTTAATTATTTTCAATTTATCTACAAATTTAAAATTTCCAGAAATAATCTGCTGTGTTCGGTTTTTATGACCCATCAAAGTTTAATATCTCTTCAAACCGAAGGGGGGGGGGGGGGGAATGAATCAAACTTTTTATGGTCATAATTTTAGAACACGAATATTATTCTATCATTTTGTTAATCGATCACTGTTTTTTTGTATACATATATGTATACAAAATTATTTCTAATAACCTATCATTTTGTTAATCGATCACTGTTTTTATGTATACATATATGCATACGTAAAAACAGTGATCGATTAACAAAATGATAGATTATTAGAAATAATTTTCTAATATTCGTGTTCAAAAATTATGACCATGTAAAGTTTGATCCCCCCCCCCCCCTCTTGATTTGAAGAGACATGATACACGTGTACGTGTATCATGTATGTAAAATAGTTAAATGAGTGTAGCGTTGAGCAACCGAACTAGCTTCATCAATTAGTTGTTTGTGCTAGGAGGATCGATCTTCATCGCACAAACGGCTAATTGATGTAACTAGTTCGGTGGCTCTATGCTGCACTCATTTATATTAGATTTCTTTTCCATTAGACATCCTAAATTGGTCTCATACAAAAGTCTTGAGAACGTCGTATCCGGACAAACGTTTTTCTAGACGTCACACAGTAGTGTGTGTGTGTGTGTGGGAGGGGGGTGGTGTGGGGGTGGTGTGGGGTGGTACTTTATATTTTAATATAAAGTTTTAAAAGAAGAAAAAATAATAATATAGATTTGGAAGTTACATCATATTATTACTTTATTCTACGCCATCAGGTTCGTACGCCAGGTTCGTATGAAATATTTCAATTTAAAGCTGTTTTCTTTATAAATATTGCATGTATCTAAGTATACTTTCTTAAAATGGTTAACTATATCTATATTACACGCTACAATAACTGTTAAAGTGACGTCATTGCAAAATTCAAATTTGATATGTTATTCTGAAACATCTCTTGAAACTATAGAATTTGAGTTGACATTTATACAAATATTTTTATGGCAATACCAACTAGAAAATAAAATTATACTAAAAGAACATGCTTTCCTAAGAGTTATGTTATTATTATCAGGTGACATAGAACTATGACCTGGACCAATGTATTTGAACCATATTATTTCAGTGATGGAGAAACTTGAAGATATTCTGTATATGAAAGGCTTACAATGTTTTCATTTAAATATCCGTGGCCTATGGAACATTTAGCATCATTTATTTGTTTAACTGCAACAAAAACATTGACAAACCCATAAACCCATATAAGCAAGGACGACCCTAGTGAACTATGTCATATCGAAAGTTATGCATATCTAAGCAGCATACGTAAAAACAGACTGGGTGGATGTGTTGCCGTTTACATATCTAATAAGTTAAACTGGGTAAGACGTAACGATCTCAAATCCAACGAAATAGAGAGCGTTTGTTTCAAAAAAATACTTCCAAAGACGAAGAGTATATTGTTTTGTGTCCTATATTGCCCACCGGATAGCTCGAAATACCTTAGCGACAATTTCTCTAACCTATTTTCAGTAATGATATCTAAACCTAATTAACCTAATTTATTAGAAACAATTTTAATTAGAAATCCTAATGTTAATTACATGAGGTCAAGTGATCACACTGAAATAAAATCTTTATTTCAGTCTTTATCAGTATGTACTAAATTTTCACGCGTTTTACTACATTCAGTTTTTCATAACAGTTTTTCCGTTTCAGTTTTTCCGTTTTCATTTTTTATCTTTTGAAATTAAATTTTAAAATTATGTTCAAATATATACATATCCTTCATACCTGGAGCATTATTAACTTAACAATAGACAATGTAAATTTCATATTTTATAAGATTTCTTACTTCAATTATTTTTCATTTATTGAAACCCGCAGTGCTATAATTTTTCCAGAAATTTATTGATGTGATCTTTAAATCCTTGTTTTAAAGTTTCATCAAAAAACATTTTAGTCTGTTTCCTCGTTTTGAAGGTTATTGAGTATCCATAACCAAAATTCTTGTTTCATGATGATGGTAAACTCTTCGGTAACTAATATTTAAAGTGGTAAGATTATCTTACTAAGATAAAAATCTATACAAATCGGAGTTTTTAAAGATTTAAGGACAAGTAAAATTGATATGGTTTTCACAAGTTTTTATGACACCTCTTCTGGAATAGCTCAGTTAATTCTTCAAGTTTTTTCTGGAGTAGTTCTGCATGTTCTCTGTAGACATAAAGTTTGTTCTTTCTGAAATAATATGTTGTGTGCATTTAATTTGACGAGAAAACAATTTTTTTCCTTTGTGGTCATGGAACATTTTATCATTTTTTATATTTATAAGGTCGATCAAATTGTAGTAGCGGGTTTTTCCTATTCTGTGACTATGTTTTAGGTGCTGGCGTACATTTCTTAGTTCGGGCAGACAAAAAACTGCTTTTGCGTAAATAAAATTACAATTTTTTTTTTTTGTTGTTAACTTTATGGCTAGTAAAAGGTATTTTTCTAAAATTATGGAAAAAGTTGGGGAGAGGAGGAGAAGAAGGATATTAAATATTACTTTTACGGTTATGTCTTTTTTATTTGATGTTCGAAACCAAACCAAACAAAACCAAACAGTTGTAAGAAAAGCACCTTCAATTTGGACACTGATTCAATCCCCTTAAAATTCTCGCGTATTATAATCGAGTATATAATTTTTTTTTTTACAGAAATCTTGCAAATGGGGTTGGTGTGAGTAGAAGTGGGACAAGCTAGCGGGTAAAGTGAGAACTATATAAAATCATTTGTCTAAAATAAGTTGAAAATTAGTTTAAGCAAACTATTTTAAACTGGTTTTAAATTTCAGTTTGTTTTAAATGAAACACAAATAATCAATATTCAAAAGTTTTTGATTACATTTGACTATTGACATGCGGAGTTACATTTTTTCTTTGAAACATTAATTGATATATCACAATATATGATTTTTTAAGATTTTTTATTATGCTTTTCCTTAAAAAGAAAAACATTAGTTTTAAATACTAGGGGGTTCTAGACCACCTAAACCCCCTGGTTACAGTTCTATTCGGGCAAAGCAATTATGCGGAACTTGAACTTTACTACATAGAATAAAGACCTTTATGATAATGTTTTAATTGGTTTTAGATTTAATTTAAATATTAGTTTGTTTTTAAGTTAGGGGCTGTTCAAATAATATGTAACACCTTTTTGGCTGTTTTTAGACACCCCACCCTTCCCCATGTGACATTTTATGACATTTTCTGTCAACCTCCTCCCTTTTTCCAATATGCATATTGGAAAAAGGGAGGAGGTTGACAGAAAATGTCTCAAATATGAGACGTGACGTTATTTTTACCCAATTTTGCAACTTTTCGTAAACATTTTTATTGATTCCGCTGTGATTAGAATTTAAATTTTTAAAAATTTGTCACGTTACACTGAAGCTAACCCCCCTCCCCCATGTGACATTTGGTAACACTTTCTGATACCCCTTCCCCCTTAGAACTGTCACGTATTAACAGCCCCATATAGGTCTGTAAAAATTATACTTTCATATTGATGATAGTATTAAGTGGCTACAATTTTTTTAAATAATAAACATAATTTTTAATTATTCGACAAACAAAATTGCATTTCGAAATCTCAAATTTAATGTTTTATTATTTATTTATTTTATTTGTAAATATTATGATTCTTTGTAAGTTCAAATAAAAATATTTTTTTGTAAGTTCAAATAAATTTAGTTTTGAATACAACTATACTGTTAAATTTCAACAAAAAAGTTTGTATATGAACATTTATCAAGCAGATCACGCAAATGTTTGTATAAACATAAGAACTGTTGCTCGGCAACGAGGACATTTTAACTGTAAATGTGGTATACACATTGTGCAAACCATGTGTCCACAGGGAACAGCAGCGAAGTTTGGAGTATTTTCTAAACAAACAGGACATGTTGTTCCATTAGTTTCATCCACTACTCTTAAAGTCTCCGTGACTCCAACAATTTCTGTAGAACTATGTAAGTTTTCTCCGAGTTGGAAGGTATTTTGCACTATAGCTACATCATCTGTATTTTGCACTATAGCTACATCATCTGTATTTTGCACTATAGCTACATCCCGTGGTATTGATACATTAAGTTGCTGGGCTTCATCTTGAGGTGGAATTGAATTTGGCTGTGAGGGCTCCATTTGAACTTGCGTAAATGATGAAACTGTTTCCAATTCCGGTGGTTGATTTATACAACTAACGCCAAGTTGATTGTTAAATAACGCATCTGCGCAATGTGAAACACTTTGTAGAAATTCCAATGAAGTTAGACGTCCGTTGGCCAAATTTTCAGTAGCAACTCTGATTTTACGATCATTTAAAACATATTTCTGCTTTCGTCTCCGACGAATTTGAAGTCCACATTCTAAACGTACTTTATCAAGTTGCTGGACTTCTGCAAACTTTCTTAGTTCTGCTAAAATATTAAAAGAATTAAATGCAAATAAAAGAGAAGTTCAAAAAATTATATTTTTATTTTTATATATATATATATATATATATATATATATATATATATATATATATATATATTTACTTATAAAAAGCCAAATGTTTGGATGAGCAATCTTTATTCGTTTTAAAAGCGAGGCATGGAGGCTTTCTTGATCAGAGTTCGTTCTTCTGGGACAACCAAAAACAGAAATTTTGTTACTGCCAATACGCCCAATCCAAAATGTTTCCATATAGGTCATTAAACTTTGACATTTTGCGAAGTCATTTATGCTTAATGACACCACAAACAAATTTGGATTCAAATTGCCTAATGTTGGCTGAATATGGTGAGGCGGTAGCAAAGAAAGACACAATAATAGCCTTATCCATTTCTTCAAATCACTGTGAACTTGCAGTTTTAAAAGTCCAAACAATCCAAGATGTTTACACTTGTTAACCACAGCCTAAATATAAATAATTGTAAACATAAACTTTCAGTACAAATAAGTATATATATATTTTAAATTGTATTTTAATTTAGTTTTAAAATTGCCATTTTATAACAAAGGTTATTGTATGTTTAGTTAAATATTTTTTTGCTTACATTTACGTAATGAAACCAACAGCCTGAAATTTCAGCTAAAGGATATTGAATTTCCAAGGTATTCATCAGTGCTTGTTCATAGTCCGTCATTATCCGTAACGGTGACAAATGTGGAACGAGTTCAGCAACTTTGGAAAATGCAAGAGAATACAGCTCTTGCGTTTTTCTAGTCATAAGTATGAAAATAGTTGGAATAAACTAAAACAAAAAAATCTTTATTTCTTGATTCTTTACTTGTAGAACAACATTAATAAAAACAACTATAATTTATAAAAAACAGTAGTAATAACAATAATAACAATAATAACAAAAATATTAATATATGGAGGGTGAACAAGAAAAAACAGGGAATATATTTTGTTTTTTTTTTTAATTTATTAAGGTGCTCTAAAAAAATCTAAAGGTATTGAAAAACACCGCGGAAAAAATAGAATTCCTTGTTTACACCCTTCTTATATTATCTTTTATTGATTATCTTACATGATCAAGCAAAATGTATCCAAATGTTATCATTTGATAAAACATTTTAGGAACTACCTTAAATGTTCCGTCAACGTGCAAATCAGTCGGTGAAGCAACGACTGTTTTCCCGATAAATATGTGAGCATAATCGTTATTTATACGAACGTACCCTTTGTAAAAATCGGTCCCGTCTAAAAATTTACTTACGTTGTTTACTCTCAAAGAGTTGTCTAATTCCCCGCAATTGGCTGATAATTGCGGCTGCACTGATCTACGTCTGCGATACATAGTGCTTTCCATCATTCCAAAAGAAACGTGATGTGCTGATTGGTTACTAGCAGTTTCTTGGTCAAAAATATCTCGCAAACTTCCACTTGTAGTTTTAGCAGCTCGTTTTATTGATAGTTTTAATTTTAAAATTTCTTTTTTTTCAAAATCTGGCAAATGATTATGCGGCGTTATTTGTACTAACGCTAGGCTTGGTTCACTTGTTGCACGACTTCTGCAAAATTCATCCTTACATTTGAAACCGCCACCATACGATTCTGTTGCTTTTTTGTCTTTACGATAATAGTAACCATTTTGGTAATAAATTTTTGAGTTTTTTCTTTCCCCTTCGAGTATTTCCATTTTAATGTTTAACTAAAAAAAGAAAAGTTTTCTTTTACTATGACTTTTTTCTAGGACTAGAATTAATTATATGTTAAAATTTAAATGTTTTAACAATCTTTAATCGATTTTTGTACTTTGATATAATAAATTGAAGCGTTAACATTAAGTTTAATAAGGACGTACTAATAGTTCTAACATTTATAAACTAAACTTAAAAAAATTCGATTTTGTGTGTCATCAACCAGTTCTTTTTCTTTGTACCGGAATGTTTTATCTGAAAACGAATTAACGAAATTCCATTTTTAACCCAAAGCACTTATTTAAATTACTTTCTCCATTCGAATTTAACCATTTTCTTTACTTCTGTAAATATTATGAAGAAATATGTTTTTTCGAAGTTGAGTTGCGAACTAAAAACTAAATTTTTTTACTACGGAATAATAATTCTTAGTATAGAAGTAATAAAATGTTTTAAATATTTGTTGAATATTGTAGCGAATATAGAGAACAATATACAGGGCCGGCGCTAGAGGGGTGCAATTAAGATTAAGCTGGTATATCCCTCAGAAAAATCAAATTTTTCAATTTTTTTTTGTTTAATGTTATTTAAAATTTATTAGAGAATCATATTTTCTAAAAATCTTTTTTTTTTTAAATCTAGCTTTAAAATTAACTTTAGGAAAGCAAACTTTACTAAACCTTACTTGTTTACGCGTCCTTGACAACCTCCATAGCAAATAAGGGTTTAATTTTTATTTGGCTATAAAATTCTCCCCAAATAGAGTAAAATGGGGTCAAATGGAATAGTTAAGAATTTTAATTATTTTTTTTTACGGAAAAATGATTTAAAAAAAAAAATTTTTTTAAAGAGAATAAATTTAAATTTAATTTTTTTTTAATTTTTTTTTTAAAGAGAATAAATTTAAATTTAAATATATAAGAATCGGTATATAAAAATATTTAAAAAAATATTTTATTATACCCTGACATTCGGGGAGAATGAAATACGCAAATCTTTATGCAAATAAAACAATTCTTTTCTGAAAAAAAACAATTATGAAACCAATAAAAAACAGTTTAAAAAACAACCGAATAAGAAAAAATTTCATTCTTATCATTTCATATTAGAATAGATTTAATAACGATTTTATTATTTTTAATTTTTAACAAGTTTTTTTTTCTAGAAAAATATGTACAAGGTAAAATTACATTAAATATATTACTGGTAGGACTTCCAGAAGATCACATGATCTTATCATGAAGCCCTTTACAATCTATATAACGAATTAAAAGGTAGAAAATTTACAAATATTAAAAATTACATAAGCGTTAGTATATTCTTCAGATGTTAAGCAAGTTTTTAACATAATATTTTATAATATGGATATATAACATTCTCAATATTGAACAATATTATAATATAAAGTATTCAGCATATATTGTTTAAATAATATTCATCACACAGTCGACAAAAATATCAAATAACTTGAAATACTAAAAATAAATAAATATATTTTGTGTTGAAAAGATTATTTCTTTTGTTTTCTTTTTAAAGGAGGAATAAGACCATTTAAAAGAAAAATCAAAGTTAGGTAAAACTATTTTATTCCAAAGAAATGGATAAGAAATACAAAACTGGTCAATTTTTGTTTTGCAAAACGGCTCTTGAATATTTTTACTATCACGAAGTTCATATTTGTTTTTTGGTTTCAAATTATAGAGATTTATAAATACACTTGGAGATAAATTTTCTTTACAGTTAAACATAAAAAATAAAATATTAAAAATATTTAATTCGTATATATTTAAAGCTTTTATTTCTATAAGAAGTGGTGTTGAGCTTGAAAAACGATTTCCAAAATTAATTATGCGAGCTGCGTGTTTCTGATGCCGATAGAGAGATTTAAGTTTGGTTTTGTGAGCGCTTCCCCATATAATATTGGCATAGTTTATATGGCAATGAATAAATGAATAATATAGTTGAGTTAGTTGCTTTTTATTTAGTATATATCGAGCTTTGTATAGAACTCCAATGTTTTTAGCAACTTTCATTGAAATACTATCAATTTGCTGACTCCAAGATAAGTTTTCATCTATTATGGCTCCTAAAATTTTGTAAATTTTTCTCTTTTTATGATTGTATTGTCAATGAATAGGTCAGGTAAGATATTTTGGATTCTCTTTTTTTTAGAGGCTGGGTGAAAAAGTATAAACTTTGTTTTATCCGTATTCAAGGACAATTTATTTTTTCTAAACCAATATGATATTCTTTTTAATTCATTATTCATATTATTAAAAAGTATTTCTATGTTTTCGTGCGACTGAAATAAATTCGTATCATCTGCAAAATTTACGGTCGTTAGGGTAGAAGCTTTGTAAAGATCATTTATGTATAATAGAAATGATAGTGGTCCAAGTAGGGACCCTTGGGGGACACCGCATGTTATATTTTTTATTACTTGCGATGAAGATTCTTTGTTATAAACAAATTGGTTGCGATTACTTAGATAGCTTTTGAACCAATTTAGGGTTTTATCTTTTATACCATAGCTCTCTAGCTTTTTTATTAAAATATGATGATTAACAGTATCAAAAGCTTTTGACCAGTCAATGAATATGCCTAGTGTGAATTGAGAATTCTTAAATGAATCGGCAATACTGTGTGTTACTTGGAGAATAGCGTGTTCAGTAGAACTGTTTCTCTGAAAACCAAATTGATTTTTATAAAGGAGTTTATTATCAATAAGATAAGTGTAAATTCTATTATACATTATTCTTTCTAATATTTTTCAAAAGACCGGTAGAACTGAGATAGGACGATAGTTTGTTATGTTGGTATGGTCACCTGTTTTAAAGATTGGAGTTACTTTAGCTATTTTCAAACTATTTGGAAACGATCCTTGAGTAATAGATGCTTTGAAGACTTTGAAGAGGATATCTTTAACCTCATTAAAAGAGTCGATTACAATATTTCCATTTATATCATCAGGCCCTATTGCTTTATTCCTTTTTAATGATTTAAATGCAATTTCGAATTCATTATAAGTTAGATTTGAAAAATTTATAGTTGAATTTGGTGATGATATAAATTCTTCAACAGAGTCGTTGTCTACATAAGGAATCTTGTTTGATAGGTTATGTCCTATTGACGAAAAAAAGTTATTGAATTCGGCTGCGATTTCATTTGAATCGGTAATTAACTTATTTTCAAATTTTATAGCATTCGGCATCGTATTTGTGTTTGTCTTATGTTTGCTAGAAATTTCTTTCATTTTTTGCCACACCCGCCTTGAATTATGCTTGTGTTTTATAAGCAAGTCAGAGTAGTAAATTTGTTTGGCTTTTTTTCGGAGTTTTTCAAATAGATTTTTATAAACTGTCTAGTTATTTTTATGTTTGTCGGATCTATTTTTAAGATATTTAATATAGAGTTTTTGCTTTATTTTTGATGATTTTTTTATTTCTTTAGTTACCCAAGGACAAGATATGTCTTTGGCGTTAAGAACTATTTCTCGAATAGGAAAATTTGCTTCATATATTTTGTAAAATATATTAAAAAAAGATTTGTAGATGATATTTATATCCTCATTAAAGTTTATATAGCTCCAGTCTTGGTGTAAAAGTAGCTCTTTAAATAAATTTAAGTTGCTGTTGCTATAAATTCGTTTTTTTAATGTTATTTTACCATTCGTATTTGTTTTGTGGTCAGCGCCTAAGCAGAAAAAAATTGGAAAGTAATCCGAAGCATCAGTTTTTATAATACCTTTTTTGAGTGTAATATTGAAATAGTCATTGGTAAGAAGGTTGTCAATTAAGGAGGATGAAGACTTTGTTATTCTAGTAGGTTTATTTATAATGGGTATTGTTCCCGTTTCAAATAAATGATTATAAAACTTTGTTATATATTTTTTTTCATTATACTGGAAGCAGTCAAGGTTGAAATCCCCCAGTATATAATTTTATTTCTTTTCTTGGCTAGTTTTTTCTATTATATTATGAACTAGATAATTGCTTAGGTACTCAGTTCTTCCGGTTGGTGGCCGATAACAGCAGCTTAGTAAAATATTTTTAGATTTTTTATTTATTATTTCAACCGTTAAAATCTCAATATTATCATCAGAAACACTAATATTGCTTCGAATATTATACGCAAGGTTTTGTTTTATGTAAAAAAGAACTCCTCCTCCACGCTTATTAACATTACGCTCTAAGAAGACTGTATAAAACCTGTAAGATGGAGATTAGCGTTTGATTTAAAATCTTCCTCTGTACACCAAGTTTCAGTTAAGCTAATAACGTTAAAAAAATTTTCCGTTTGGCAAATCATATTTAAAAAGTTATCAAAATTTTTTTTTAAACTTCTGATATTAATGTGGATTATATTAAAATAATCACGATTATCATTATTTTTAAATATGCTTTTAATTTTATCTAGATAAAAGTAAGAGCATTCGAATTTTGATCCATTAATCTCATTAAAATAATTAATATCTGGATCAGATTCATTGTCTAAATTAAAAGTATTTGTTTGAAATAAATTTGATATTTTTTCTAAATCATTCCGATAAGTTGAATCCATTTTG